GTCATGTAGATAGCCCAAGAGCTACAAATTTGGGGGCCCAACGAGGGAGACCCCACTGTAGCCAAGAATCACGTTACGCTGAGGCATGTTAAGGAGCAATGTGTGGAAGAGCATGGAAGGAGTCCTAGGACAAATAGGGAAATAGTGTCCTATTTACCAGGGAAACAACCCCAAAGAGATCACGCTAGACCGTTGACTAGGGAAGACACTTGCTCTCCCATAACTCAGCATCTGTCAGCGCTCCCATTACCAGGTGCTATTTCCAGAGTCCTGGGCCTAGGGGAGGAAAAGGGAGGGGCCCCGGTGGAGAAACCGAGGGAGACCCAATGGGCTCCTCCTCCAGCCCAGCTGCAGTTTCAAATTTCCACCACTTGGGGGCTCCCGAGCTCAACCACAGCCCCAGAATAAGGGAGGGAGACCGCGAGACAATCTCTAGAGGACAGCGTGGGACGTCAGTAATGACCCTGAGCAGAGAGGTGACCCAGGGGTCATCTGGTCTGAAGCTGCAGACCCTTCTCGTGGCCGTTTGGAAAACATCCAGCCTCCACCCCTCTCTCTAAAAAGGACCCTTGGCATTGAGAACCAGCTCCCCACTTCTTACCCTCACCCACTTCTCTGTGGTCATTTCCTCCCCTGCGCCGTTTCCTTCCCCTCCCCCATCCCTCATGGTGGGAACACCAGCACCATCCCCCCAAGCCTATCAGAGTCCTGAGGAATGCTCTACCCCTGGCTGAGTGCCAGCCTGTGGACTTCCTGGGCTTTAGGGTGGGGCTTGGCTGAGGGGAAGCCCTTTGGACTGGAGAGCCACCCAGTGCTGCACAGCTTGTCACTAGCGCGCGCTCGCTCTCCATCTCACTCTTTATCTCTCTGCTAAGCAAAAGGTTCATCTATCGTTCTCCGTCACCACCACCTAATTTCCTACCCCTACAATAGAATTTCCTTGCCAGGGCAAAACATCCACAATCGAAAGGCCGTGGGTATCCTAAACACTGGTCTAAATTGAGAGAAAAAGCACCAATTTCAAAGCCTGTCTTCCCTGTTCCTGAAGGCCTGGAAGGAGGTTCAGCTGCCAGGGTCCTGAAGTCCTTCTTGGAACCCTCAGGTCTAAGGAAGTACATGAGTCACTATATAGTAAAGCCTGGGAGTGCATTTCTGCCTATCTGACTACCACTAATTAGCCTCCATGTCTCTGAAATAAATCAGCTGAAATATGAATTCACTGGTCCACCTCAAGGTCAAAGAAATCTTTTCAGCCAGCTGCAGGGAACTGGGGTAGGTTTAACAAGAATGGGGAGCAGCAGAAACCACTCCCAACTCTAACGAATAGAGACTAAGCCTGTCAGAGACTTCTGGCTCCTATCCAAGTGGTCTTGCTCAGAAATGTTTTTGAATTTGGAGGTTGGAAAGTCTTCTGATATCATCTACAAATGACCAAGAACTCAGTCCTGTGGCGCCCCCTGCCTCATTGTCCCTCAGTGCACTTTTTGCAGCTTGTCTCGCTGATGTCATCATTTGTAGACCTGTGCCAGATTCCCAAGTTCCTATCTTGAAACCTCAGCCCCCAAATCCAGGGCCTAGGGGAGAACCAATGTAGGTCACTGCAGCTGAGCCTGCAGGGCTGTCTGCTCCTTGAGCCCAGAGCCCTTAAGGCACAGAGAGGAAACCTTGCAGAGAAGAGAGAGTAAGTGCTTTATGAGAATCAGAGGAAAGCATTTTCCTCAAAAAAATTAAACAAGGAGAGCCCAGGAATCAACTGGTCACACTTGAAGCAGTAATGGGAGCTATGCTTCTGAGAAGCTGCATGTGATGGGAGAGGGAAGGCCAGAGGAGAGAGACTAAGCAAGACTTCCATCCCCAGCTTTCTTCAGAGCCCTCCATCCCTCCCCCAACCCATGCCCACCCTTGCTCTGTTTGCCTGTGTAAGGGAACCCTTCAGATCCCTAGTTCTCTAGTTACTTAGCTCTCCTGGCTCAGGTTTCATTCTCAGGAACCTTTGTGATTTGCCTTAGGGACCCCCTGCTTCCTCTGGTCAGAGTTTCTGGGTCTCAGGAAGCTGGAATAGGCCAGAATTGTCTCCACCCTCCCCCATTGAAAGACTTTTCCTGCTTATCTGTTAAACTCATTTTGTGGGGTACTTCTAACCCTCTGGGACCTCATTCCTTTTCTTGGCTCTCCCTACTCCTGCTTTTGAGATCCCAGGGAGAGAGAGAGAGAGAGAGAGAGAGAGAGTGTTGCTCATATTCTCTTAGTTATGTACAGGCAGTCAAGGACCTATGGCTGCAACTAGCTTGGAGGTCCCCATGGCCAGCAAAAATAGACAAGGGACCAATTTCTACCTCCAGCCTCAAAAACACTTTAACCCCAAACAATTGCTCTAATAGAAGCCTCGGGACAGGAAGAAAAGTAGGTAAGATGGAGAAAGGATAAACAATCACAATTCTAGTCTTCTTTTCCCTTATTCTTCCCCCCAGTACCTCCGGTCCCCTTTCAGATCTCAGCTACTCATCCTTCCACTACTCATTTGCCTTCATTTCCAGTATCCTTGCACATGGTAGGCACTTATAAATGCTTTTTACATTGAGTCAAACTGTATCTGGTTATGCTCTCTGGCTGAACTTTGAGAGGAAGAAGCGCAAAGGGGGAAGGTGGACATTCCCCAGATCCTGAGCAAGGTTCTCCTACAGGACTGATTGCTAGGCAACAAATGGTTCTTAGACTTCAACTGGCATTGGAATCACCTGAAAGGCTCAGCAAAACTCGG